TCTCTCTCTCTCTCTCTCTCTCTCTCTCTTTACAGATGCATCATCCCATACAGATGAAGCCTGCAGACAGTGAGAAAAACAATGGTGAGTGACTTTAATTTTCCACAATATTATGACAGTCCTCCATTCATATACACTAATGTTCAAAAGTTTAGGGTCAGATTTTTATTTATTTATTTGGTAGAAAGAAACAATTATGTTTCAGCAAGGATACAGTAAACCGATAACGTTACAAAAGATTTCCAAATCACGGCTCATTTTCAAATCACTGTTTCTTCTTCTTCAAAAAAAAAAACATTAAGCAGCAAAACGATTGATTTCTGAAGGATCAAGTGACACTGAGGTCTGGAGTAATGGCTGCTCAAAATTCAGCTTTGTCATCACAGGATTAAAGTACATTTTAAAATATATTAAAATAGAAAAGTTAAAAAATTTAAATTGTAATTCCACAATATTACTGTTTTACTGTATTTGTGATCAAATAAATGCAGCCTTTTTTGAACATAAGAGACTTTCTTCGAAAACATTACAAAATCTTATTCTTAAAGGGGACATAACACACACTTTTTTGCCAATCTCATGTTAATCTTGAGTACCTATAGAGTATAGCATCCTTCATATCTCCAAAGAGTCTTTAGTTTTATCAGATTTATAAAAGAAAGATACAGCTTTACGATTCTCTCCGGAAACAGCCGATCTCCTGGAGATAAAGAGTCACGAGCACTTGAGCGCCGATTGCCAACAAAACAGAAATTTGATGCAGTTCCGAATCAGGGCTAATGGAAGAACTGGAACTGGTGAACTTCGTCCCCAAATGCAAATCCCAGTATCATGTACAAACCACCATAGAGCAGACAGAGCAGAATCAGCCATGGAGCAATTGCCAAATTTTGATAGCCTGAAGCAACAAATCGGTCCATGCATCCTGAACACTCGTGGAGGAAGAGCGTCGTCTGCCCACTGCCAAACTCCTCAGATTACAAAACGAAAGTAAGAGAGACAGAACCATTCTGACGGGCCAAGCTTTCTCCATTCTCAAAAAGAAACAGCATTGTGTTCCACCTTAAAGGAACATAAACTCCACTTAAAGGGAGTTGCTGAAACACAATAAAACTCTGAAGACAGCATGGGCAGATAAACTGTTTTCCTGAAGAAAAGAGATCTGAGAAGTGTTGGCGCGGGTGCGTTCTTTTGGCATTGTTAATGCCATCAGCTAATGAACTAGGATAAAAATCTCATTGGGCTTCAGACAGTCGTCACACCTGAAGGGTATTCCCATAATGTCAACTTTATAGTGCATTTATGTTATCTGTCATTTGTCTCTTTTTGC